AACTCAGAAAGCCAATTTTTCAAAAAATAGTTAATCCTGAATTTCCAGAGATAAATATTTTCTAAGAATGTGAAACTTACCTGAAAAGAAGAGCTCTTTACCAAGTGTGGCTTTGCTCCCAGGACAGGGACTGCTGTGGCAGCACCTGTGCAAGTGTCTAAATGGGACAGATGAGCCTGAGATAAAGGTTTGGGTTCCATGATCTCAACTCCCTGTTGGGAAGTGATCATCATTTCACCTGTAAGTGCAGTGACAGTGTCTACATGGGGACCGGGGATTATCTCTGAAAAACATTTGGGATTGTGCAAACCGCTGAAAGCTATGAAAAGTGCTTAATGAGATATCCATCAGGAGTGGCAGAAGCAGATGGGAAGAATCTGTTTGAAACAATAACATTCCACTGGAATGCTAAAAGAATACTGTGTTCTCTAATAAGAGAGAGAAGGGAGCTGATCAAATGTCTGTCGGGGATTCTTAGTTTGAAGGCTTTGTTTCCAAAATATGATTCCTCCCCATTCCTGAGAGCACTGTGGGTAGTGAACTTGAAGGAAAAGAAGCGTGGGTAGAGTTAGAAAGTGTATTCAGAATTGGAAAAATTGACAGGAAATATGTGTTGTGATATTTGTCCAGCATTTTAACAAATATTTATTGTGGAGTTTATGTGTTTTAGGCACATTTCTAGGCATATGGAATATATCAGTGCACAGAGTATTGATAGAAATCCTGGAACTTACTCTGTTGTTGATGGAAAAAGACAATAAATAGTGCTTCTGTGATACTGTTGTGTGGTTCCTCGCGCACTCCCTCTCCTCATTTTTCATTCTCCCCAACACCACCTTCCCATTACTATTTAAAAAAGACTTTAAGTTCATATGAAGTATCCTATCTGTACCACAGACTGAAAAAATTTCAACAGTTTGGATAACCGAAGAGACTCAGCAGTCTACACAGAGCATTGAAATGTGAGGCTGCTAGTTAAATGTACAGGACACGATGTAGCAAAACATGATAGTGCAGGTCACCCAGGCACAAATCTTCAGAATCCTGATTTGCATATGGACATGATTCATCTTCAGATCAAGGATAACTCCAATCAGAATTCCCAGAAGGGACTTTATGCCCTTTGTTTAACAGTGAAATCAGGATGCCAAATCAATTATGACATTTAGAAAACCATCAGTAAACAATCTGGCCTTGGGTGTTCCCATGGGATTTTTGGACTTTAAACAACACATAATAAATCCCACTGCACTATCTCAACAGAGTTAAAGCCAGACACCCAGGAGTCCCTAGAGATGTGGCTGAAGTTTTCCAGTCCAGGTCGATTAACTATCTTACTCAAAATAAATACGCAGTATTTCAAAATTTGTGAGATGCTGCTAAAGCAATTCCTTTTAGAGGAGACTACTTCAATAGAGGTGTTAGCCAGGGCAATGACGAGAAAAAAGAGATGTCCAATTTAGAAACAAAGAAGTAAAACTGTATTAACAGAGGACGTGAAGGTCTATGGAGAAAATCCTATGGGATCTACAAAGACCTAAAAGCCAAAAAATAAAATGAAACTACTAGAACTATTAAATGCTACTCTATGTGATAGCAATGAACAACCAAAAATGGGAATAAAATTTAAGAAACATTGCAGTCTATAATAGTATTGGATATATAAATCTTTAGAGATAAATAAGATTTGTAACCTCCTAAAGATGGTCAAATAGGACGCCGAGAAAAACAAAAAGTGACAAGTAAGCCTTTATTCACTTACTGTGAGAGTGTAAACAAGAGTCCAAAAAGAGAAAGAGGGGCTTGATTCCTTAGTGTCCCATTCTCGCCACAGAACTGCAGTGGATGAGGGTCAGGTGAGGACAGGGGAATCTCACTGCAGGGAGCCCTGAACAAAAGACTCCTGCTGTTTAACGGACCCAGTGGACAGGAGGAGGAAGGGGGTAAGGGCTAGGAGTGCTGAGTACTAAGTCAGAGTGGAGAAAGTGTCTTCAAACCTCCCCTGATAAGGAGGACTCAGTAAAGGTGCCTGAACAGTATCTCAGTGGAGTCCCACCTGTCTTCCCACCTATAAGAAGGCCTCTGAATGGAGGTGTCTATGCTAGGAAAGCAGACATGTGTGGCAGCATGGCAGGGGGTAGGAGGAATGATCCCTGACTGCAGCTCCCTCCAGAGCCTGAAATTCATTGAATGTGCACCAAGTCTGCTGTGGCAAGAGCAGCTTTCCCCCTTAAGGCCTGCCTGGTAAAGTGTTTCTCATCACCTGTAGTTGGGCCTTGTAGGGCATTAGAATTGGCCACCCCAAACTGTGTCTCTTTGGCATCAAGATTGTTTGGGGCTAGGTACTTTTAAGAAACTGCAGACAGGGAGAAGCTCTGAAAACCAAGTAGAAGTTACCCTTTGTAAGAGACATTTACATTCGTGAGGGAAATCTTGATTTGTAAAGATGTCTCCCTCTCTCTAACAGGAAGAGGGTTATGACCTTATCTCTTGAAACTCTTATCACTGTGTAAGGCAAGGACTTAAATCTGCATGATAACCTTACTCTTGTTTACTGTGCTTTTCTGGTGATCTCCCGTAGCTGACTCCCTACCACCCCCAACATCCTCCTTTGTCTTTAGCTGAAGATGCTATTTAAGGTGGCAGCTTCAGCCATTCTGGCAGAGTTACCAAGTTTCCCTGGGTTTCTCCCATGTATATATGTTATAAAACTTTGTTTGATTTTCTCCTGCCATTCCGTCTCATGTCAATTTAATTTGTAGCCCAGCCAGAAGGACCCAGAGAGTAGAGGATTTATCTTCCTCCTCTACAGCTTGAAAGATCACACATAGGATCTGGGCTTAGAGCTAGGCTCTTCCAGACCTAAATAAAAGGAGAAATATACCACATTTATGGATGGGCCACACAAAGATGGCCTTCTTCTACTTGATGTGCATTAAAAAAGCCAATTATCATGGCATCAGCTTTTTTTTTTTTTTAAGGCATTAACTTTTGAGAAAGGAATATAGCTTTATTGTGAGATTGATCTGTAAGGAGACAGAAGGCCAGGCTCTCAAATCAATCTCCCCCATCCAAAGTATGGGGTTAGATTCAAGTGATAAGAAAAGCCTGCTAGTATGTGGAAGTGCTGGCATGATGAGTTTCAATTGGCAGATCAAAATTTTGACTCATTGACCCTGAAAAACAGCTTCAGCATCTTGTTGTTAAGATAGGTCAGTTATGAGAGGTTATGGGGAAAAGTGCAGAAAACATGGGTGAAGTTGTTAGGGAGGTTTAAGTCATTGCCTTCTTCATTGATAAGAGTTTCTAAAGAGTTTCTAGAGATTTAGAGTCACCCTCCTCTTCCTGGCACAGAGAGAGAGAGGCACCTTTACAAACGGAGATTTCTCTTATAAATGTAAATCTCCCTCACAAAAGGGTAACTTCTACTAGATTTTCAAACTTTTCCTGTCTGCTTTTTTTTTTTTTAATTATTAGCTCAAAATAGCCCTTATGCAAAAGAAGTGTATTTTGGGGTTGCAAATTCTATTCCTAATCCTGTGGTTACAGGAACACATCATATTAAGATGTTATTCTCTCAAATTCAGTCTATAGACAAAATGCAATCCATATCAAAATCCTGGTAGACTTTTTTTCATAGAAATTAACAGTGGCTTCTAAAATTTATATGTCTTTGCAAAGGACCAAGGATGGCAGAAAGAGCTTTGAAAAAGAAGAGAAAAGTTGGAAGACTATACAACCCTGATTTTTTCCCTCTCATTTATTTTGTATTTATTTAATATGCTGCTTTTGAATTGACAGAGGGCCTTTAAGACCTGGCCCCTCTTTGTGGAAGGATCAGTGGAACATCCATAGCCACTCATGTTCCAGTTTTCAGAGCTTGATTAAATATCACCCTTTCTCTCTTTTTTAAAATTGAGTTCATAATAGTTTATGTGAGATTTCAGTTGGACGATATTTCTTGTCTGTCACCACATAAGTGCTCCCCTTCACTCCCTGTACTAAACCCCCATCCCCCTTCCCCTGGTAACCACTGAACTGTTTTCTTTGTCCACATGTTTGTTCATATTCCACATATGAGTGAAAGCATCTGGTGTTTGTCTTTCTCAATCTGGCTTATTTCTCTTAGCATAATTCCCTCCAGGTCCTTCCATGTTATTGCAAATGGGATGATTTTGTCTTTTTTATGGCTTAGTAGTATTCCATTGTATATATACACCACAACTTCTTTATCCATTCATCGGTTGATGGGCACTTGGATTATTTCCATGTCTAGGCTATTGTGAACAGTGCTGCAACAAACATAGGGGTGCATATGTTACTTTGGATTGTTGATTTCAAGTTGTTCGGGTAGATACCCAGTAGCGGGATAGCTGGGTCATATGGTAGTTCTATTTTTAGTTTTTGGAGGACTCTCCATACTGTTTTCCACAGTGGCTGCACCAGTTTGCATTCCTACCAGCAGTGTATGAGGGTTCCCTTTTCTCCACACCCTCTCCAACATTTGTTATTTTTAGTCTTGGTGATTATAGCCATTTTAACACCTGTTAAAATGTGAGGAAGTGAAGACTGCTTAAGTTCCTTTGAAATTTTGCCTTTTGTTTAAAACAAAAGTTGATGGTTGAAAATTGGAAACATGTTAGGTTTTAGAACCATTAAACCAGAATATTTTAACTAAAATTAGAAGTCAAATGGAAATTTATTAACATAAAACACATTTACTTATATATGCACTAAATGACATCTAAAAAGGAAAGGTGATGTTTCACACGTTACTGAAGCCCTTCATTGACCTGCACTATTGTTAGGACAAAGGTTAGAATTCTTGTCTGATGTACAGTAATCAACTGCAAACACTAGAGTTTTGGGGAGTTTTCTTTGTTCACTAAGGCTGCATGTGCATTCCCGACATGGGCCATTCCAGATGATTTTCCCTGATAGATGCATCCTCATCCATCTAGGTTTAGAAAAAAATATTAAAACTATTAAAAGGCCCTGTGTAACACTAAATATTTTACTTATGTATAAAATGGTGACATTTTACTTACATTCACAAATTTGATGGTTTTCATACACTATACACTCACAAGGGACCTTGAACTTCTTCACTGAGGAATACAGCATGTGTATATTAAGTAATCTTTGCATATTGTATACATAATCCCCTACTTTGGCTCCACTACAAGCTCTGTGAGGGTGGGGTGTTCTTAGTCACTGGATATCACAAAGTGATATCCTAGGATGGTAACTAGCACCAAATAGTCCCGTTTATTTGGATTCATAGAAAACACCACGTAGACCGACAGACTTGAGCTGCTCTAAGAATAAATGTAAAGCTAAAACTAATATTAAAAAGTCCTAGGAGCATAATTTTGTTATGCCTGGATAATTATTTTAAAAATCCAGAAAAAGTAAAAATCTTGATATGTTTAATATTTCCAATTAAATACTTCTATAAAACTCAGGGCAGGCAAAACTTAGATACCAATGAGACAACAGGCAAACAACTGCACTGAAAAAAATCAGAAAAGTTATGGGCTCTGAGATTTACTGAATCAGGCAAGTGGGCATTTTCTGGCATCATGGAATCGTTGTATAGTTTGGGAAGTTGTTTCATGGATAAAGGCATTTGTCAGTCATCAGATTGTACTTACGTATTCTCCTGAGTATATCTGTGTATTCCTCTGAATAGACATTTTACTTTTAAAAAGTTTAAATCATTTCCTAAACGTTAATGGTTTTTAGCTTGCCATGACACAGGTAGTGTTTATGAAGGCAGATTGAGTGTAGTCAGAAGCAGCCTGGAAGCAATGGTTCACCCGTGTCCTTAAGTATCTTCCAATACCCAGCTCTTGATTTCTCAATACCTTTCTCTACCACAAAGAAGAAAAACTACTTGGAGAAAAGACTGATTTCTGGCAGGGCAAGGAAAGTTACAAGATGAAACTGGAGTATCTTTTGTACCACAAAGAAGTGCCTAAAATGTGATGGCGATATGGAAAGGGGACAAAGAAGCCAGCTTGAAGGAACTCTCATGGAGTCAATCTAGGAAAATTTGAGCATCAAAATAAATGACAGTGGTCGGTTATAACCCACTTAAACACTTAAGAATCCATTGGCCCACACTGATACAAATTAATGAAAAGACATTTCTTTGGGAAAGCTTACTTCCAAGGTCGAATGACAACAAATAAATGTGGAAGATTGTTGGAATCTGAAAATCATGAGTGGTGGCTTAAACCAAGGGAGGAAGTATTGCTGCGGATCGGTACATTGACACGGTTTCAAATATTTTCTGAATAATTATTTACTAAATATAAAGGGAAACAGTAATTTTGAAGTCAAGAACACAAACCTACAGGAGTCACTAAAGTTAATAATTGGTAAACATGGACATCGTGTGCCTCCTGATATGATGTGCTGTGAAAGACATAATGTCACTTCTATGATTTCATTGTAAAACAATGCAAAAGAAAAATATCATTAGGAAACATCAAAGAAACACATTTTACAAAATAAATGAGCTGTCTTTGTGAAAACTGTCAAGTCCAAGGAACTTCATGAAAGGCTGATGAACTGCTTCATTAAAGGAGTGTAAGGGGTGATGATAGCTACATGCAATATGCAGTTCTAGATCTGATCAGGGACCATGGGAATACTAAGGGACAATATTAGCGTGAATGATGACATCTGAATATGGACTGTTGATGAAAGAATAGTAATTACCAACGCTGAATTTCCAGATTATGATACTACTCCAATAATATAAAATGTGCCCTTAGGAAACATGCACTGAAGTATTCACTAGTACAGAGGAAAAGTATTTTGAAATTTAACTCCAATTGCTTAGAAATACACACACACACACGTATGTGGGGGGAGAGAATGATAAATGAAAAGGTGCAAAACAATTGTTAAATCTGGGTAAAATTTATACAAGAATATCTTGTAATATTCTTGCAACTTCTGTAAGTTTCAAACTATATGAAAAATATAAAAATGAAAAATCAATACGTGTATTTCATCACTTCATAGAAAATGCTATCTATCATACAATCAACTCAGAAGATGCATAAAACATAATTTGATGCTAAATCACCAATTCTTGGCATTTCTTTTTGAATAAAGTACAGAATGGATTTTCCTTAAACATCTAAAAAGTCTGCCAAAAAATTATACAGCACATGCCTTATATATCATGTTATTTCCTCAAAGATCAGAGACAAAAGAAAAATTGGTATCTCCACTGTCCTTCAACATTACTTCACAGGGACTCTTTAGTGCTCTATGACAAGAAAATACGTACACGTTAGAAAGGAGGAAATGAACTGTCTTCTCTCACCTCTACAGTGTGTGCTAAAATAGCCGCATCCTCGTCAGTCCTAATGTGAAGTCTGGTAATGTTGTAATTCATCCCTGCCGCTGTGATTTTCCTCACCTGGGACCTGCTGTTTTCACTTTTCCATAGAATCCATCTCCTTCTGACATACTATGCAACTTCATAACTTAGGGCCATTGTTAATTGGCTGTTTCCTTCAGTCAGAATGTAAGTTCTCTGTGGGCAAAATCACTTTTATGTTTTGTGTATGTGCATCTCATAGATCTATTAAAGTACCAGACCCACATATGACAGACAAAAATTATTTCTTGGAGCACTGAATAAATGTCACCTTAACTTTCTTCTCCCTTTGCATCACTGTGCTACTCATCCTAACTTCAGTCACTCACTGCCCTCCCTTCAGGTTCAGCACCCTGAGTGCTCTCAAGAATGGGGAAGAATCTGATTTTGGAGACAGAATCTTCAAGGTGATTTAAGAATCCAGCAAAGCCATGTGCTCAGCTTCCTTCTGTCTCTCTAGAGTTCAGCGTACTCTGCTCACCTACACTCGACAGTGAGCTCCCTCCCTGCTCAAGGGCAGGACCCATGTCAGTCACATGAGTGCCTCCCTGCCCAGTGTGCCCACAGCACAGTGAGTGTTCATGTAGATGAAGGATGGAGGTCTCACGAGATTTGCTGACCAGAGCAGCAAATACATTGTAGGTCACCACACTGAATACGTAAGTGAAGACTGGATGGAAAGAGCTCGGAGTTGAGGGAACAATCCCTGGGGTTTCCTTCATCCAGCGGAAAACACATCACTCCTGCTTTAGGACAAACTGGAGCCCGGGTTCCAGGCATGGAAAGAACCCTTTGATGAGAGCCAAGATGTTTCTGGAGGGGTTTCTCCAACTCTTGAACCCAGTGGCTCAGTCACAATTACAGCCACAACTACAATATACCACCCTCGAGAGAGAGGAGGCAGGAGGCTGGGGTCTTCACGAGTCAACTCTCTTTCCCAAAAAACAGGAAACTGCACACTATCCTGAAAACAAACAGAAAAATAGAGTTCTTATTAACTCATCAAGAAGTGCAGTCACAGTATATGCACCACAAAAAAGGCACATACCCACTCTGCAAGTGTGAAGCTTGTATGAGGTCTTTTAAAAGTCTCCAAGGAAGACTCTAGTGACGAAATGTATATTTTTCTGTACAATAAATTTTTTCACCTGAGTTAATACTGATTATCTTGTGTAACTTCACAACTAGTCTCAAAGAAAATCCCTCTGGACGAATTTCAAATGAACACATCCAATGCCAGCACCAAGAGAATAAGACCATGGTGGCAAGTGTGAAAACCAGACAAACCGGACACTGGCATGTACACATCCAGAGTCTCCTGCTAAAATCCCTGGCACTTTATTTTGTAACAAAACTCTACACAAACGTTTATAAGATCAGACAATGAGAATCCTCTGACTTTTTTTTTCTGAGTTTATCATGAATTTACCTCAGCTCTGTGTTTCATTTTACTGGTTTTAGTTGTAAGTCAACCCCTAGAAAACAGCAGAGGGGGTGTGGAAATGCCCAGTCCTCCACACGGGATTAAAGAACCTGGGAAACACCAGGAAGAGGAAAGAATTAGGACTCACCTGAGGCCTCACAAGTACAAGATTATCACCATGCTGTCTGAGAAAAGAAAGGAAACAACCAAGTAGAATGGAATCAAGAAAAAGTGAGAGTATGTTGGGCATTTAATACCACACGAGCAGAGTTTACGTCTAAAACTCAAAGCCTTAACCAGTTGTAAGGGGTGCACATTTTAACATGGCAATCTGTATGTGACTTCTCTCCTTAGATATAAAATAGAAGATAAGTGTTAGGTGATGTTATTTCAGTTTTCTACATCTAACAAGTTCAAGTATCTCATGACTCAAGCCTTCACATTTCCCACAAAGAATTATGCTCCTCATGGGTGGAGATGTTTGGAAGAAAGGCTCCCCACAAACATTTGTAGAGCTGCCCTCACTGTCCAGCCTCCCTGACAAGACAGCAGTGAATACATATAAGAAACAAGTAGAAGGGCTGAGATCCTTTACCTCTCAAACGTTCCCCCACGGAAAATTAGAACTGATGAGACACTGCAAGAGGCCCGGCAGGGAGTCCGAAAGGGTTTGTGAAGGCATTTGTCTTTTCCGTTTATGGTCTCTGTCTCCATCTCCTCCTTCTCCTTTTTACTTTTCTTTCTGAAATAATCCTGAGATGGCTTTCTAAGCATAAACCACAGGGGTACCTGTGGCTGAAGGTGGCGGTAAGTGCACAGGAGCTGCTGGGCCAGCCTCCTCTACGCTTTCTCACAAGTACGGGAAAGCCTGAGCTACTTCTAGTCCCAGTATGACCCTACATGATAAGAGCTGTCACGGAAGGTTTTCTCACAGCCATGACAATTACGTGTTCCTCTTCATTATGAATTCTCAGATGGCAAGTAAGATTTTTTCTTCTGGCTAAAGACTGTCCTCAGTAGTTATATTCAGAATGTCTTGCCTGTATGTTCTCTGATGTTGACAGAGGTGGACACACTGGTGACACACCTTCGCACATTTCTCTCTGGTACAAATCCTTTGATGGCGAGGGAGGGCGGAGCAGCAGCTGAAGGCTTCCTTACATTCACTGCATTCACAGGGCTTCTCTCCAATGTGACTACTCATGTGTCTGAAGAGCTGACCAAAAAAACCTTTCCAACATTCTTTGCACGGAAAGGGTTTTCTCCTCCAGTGTGGATCCCCTTCTGCAAGACAAGACGAGCAGTGGGTGAAGGCCTTACCACAGTCAGGTGCTCGCAGGCTCTCAATTGTGAACCCGCTGGTGCTGCAGGAGGTGTGACCTGCGTTTGAAGGCCTTCCCACACTCGAGGCACTTGTACGGTGTCTCCCCAGTGTGGATGACAGAGTGCTGAAGGAGGTAGGTGCTCCGGTGAAAGGCCTTGCCACACTGGGTGCACTCATAGGGCTTCTCCCCAGTGTGAACCCGCTGGTGCTGCATGAGTTCTGAGCTGCATCTGAAGGCCTTTCTGCACTCACTGCACTCATAGGGCTTCTCTCCAGTGTGGATGATGGAGTGTTGAATTAGGTGTGCCCTATTGCTAAATGATTTCTCACAGTCTTTGCACTCAAAGGGTTTTTCTCCAGTGTGGGTCCTACTGTGCCGAATGAAAGTAGAGCGGTGGGTGAAGGCCTTCCCACACTGACTGCACTCGTAGGGCCTCTCCCCAGTGTGAATTGGATGGTGCTGCAGGAGGTAGGACCTGCGTTTGAAGGCCTTCCCACACTCCATGCACTGGTATGGTTTTTCCCCGGTATGAATGAGGTAGTGCCGAATGAGGGTTGAGCTCTGGCTAAAGGCCTTCCCACACGCATTGCATTCATAGGGCTTCATGCCAGTGTGAACCCGCTGATGTCGAACAAGGTACCACTTCCTGTTAAACCCTTTCCCACATTGCTTGCATTTGTACAGGTTACTTCCAGCATGAATCGTGGGGCCTTTTTCTGGTCCCTGTGGGTCACGTTCATGGAGGACATCTCCCTGAGGGACTCTCTCCTGTAACACCCTGGAATGCAGACTATCATGTGTCCCCAAATGACAATCTTCAAGGCTTATTTCCCCAGGATGGGTCTCTTTGTGGGGCTCTGTTGCTGGCCTCCATTGACCTTTCTGCATTTCCAGAAGCCCTTCCTCATCCTTGGCTTGTCCCAACCTGGAGTCCCTTGAAGATCCCTCAGTCAGGCTTCCCTGGAGCAAGTCTCCCTCAGGCAAAACCAGCTGAGATGTGCTTGGCTCTCTGGTCTGAAGTTTTGTTGTGTCACCTGAAGAGAATCCAATACACGAAGGGGCACTTTTAGTGATGCAAATATGGGAGAAACAAAAGCAACACCTCAGGGGCAAATGAGGAAGAAAATAGCACCTCTGACATTGGCTGTGCTTTTACATCTTCATAACCTAGGTTTCCAATTACTTTTTGTGGTCCTTCTAACTTTGATACTATTAAAGGGAAAATCTGCAGGGCAGGCTGGACCAGAGGACATGGATGTGGAGTTGAGACCCCTCCTCACAGCCCAGAGTAGGGGAGAGAGGGCAGTTTTAATAACACTGTCTGGGGGCATTTGCCCCAAGAACTGATGTCTTGGTGCTATGAGAGCATACGGAAGCAGCACCCAACAAGACTGTGAAGAAAAAGAGGTCACGTTCCCAGATGGGTGTCCCATGAGCTGGGTCCTGATGGAGAAGTCAAACTTGCCAGAAAGAGGAAAAGAGAGGATGGGGCTGGACTGAAATATAAGGAGTAAGCATGGACAGATTCACCAGTGGAGAGTGCTTAGGAACTAAAGGAAGAAAGGGCACCCGATGCCTGGGGAAGCCCACACTGAAGAGGTGTTTGCAGTAAGAGGAAGGGGATGAAGACCACAGAGGAGGAGGGAATGAGGGTCACAGGGCCCAACAGTACAAGAGAAGGTTCTGCTCTGTGGAGAGGCATCAGCGTGATGGTTCAGAATGAGGGTCTGGAGCCAGAATGCGTCGGTTCCAGCCCTGCCTCTATCAGGTGAGCTGATCCTGGGGGAATTACCTTCTTCTTCAAGTCATAACTCCTCATTTGAGAGACTGGGAGATGCTCAGTTTCTCAGGCTCTCACAAGGGTTTAATGAGAAAATGCCTGTAAAGCGCTCTACATGATTCTTGATATAGCCTGAGTGTTTACTAAATTGTGCCTCATTATCCCTATCATTTGTGATGGTTAATTTTATATGTCAACTTGGCTATGCTACTGTGCTGAGCTGTTTGGTCAAATACCATTCTAGATGTCGCTGTGAGGTCCTTTTTAGATGTGATTAACATTTAAATCTGTGGACTTTGAGCAAAGCGGATTACCCTTCATATGTGGGTAGGCCTCATCCAGTCATTTGACGGCCTTAAGAGAAAAGACTGAGATCCCCTGGAAGGGAAGGAATTCTGCCTCTAGACTTTCTTCAGACTCAAGGTAGCAACATCAACTGCCCCAGCTTACTGGCCTGCCTTTCAGACTTCAAAATCGCTTAGCCCTCACAATCAATTCCTTAAAATAAATCTCTACATATATACACATCTTATTGGTTCTGATTCTCTGGAGACCTCTGACTAACATGTTATTATTCTCATCGTTCCACTGGGCAGTTGGGATGACCGCAATGACATCAGCAAGAAGAAACCATCTTGTTGTAGAAGCCAAGCTGAGAGGCCTTGGTAGAACCCAATGCTTCTGACACCTTGATCTTGGACTTGCAGCCTCCAGAGCTGTGAGAAAAATAAATTCTGTTGTTCAAGACACCTCTCCCCACCATAAAAGGATGGGGCACCAGGAGCCTGAAAGGCCCTGGAAATTTTTTTTTTTTTTCTGAGGATGATTTGCGCTGAGCTAACATCTGTTGCCAATCTCCCTCTTTTTGCTTGAGGAAGATTCGCCCTGAGCTAACACGTGTGCCAGTCTTCCTCTATGTTGTATGTGGGTCACTGCCACAGCATGATGATGGCTGCGGATGAGTGGTGTAGGTCTGCTCCCAGGAACTGAACCCAGCCCGCTGAAGCCGAGCATGCCAAACTTAACCAGTAGGCCACGGGGCTGGCCCCAGGTCCTAGAAATATTCTAAATCTTGACTGGGGTGGAGAATATTTCAGTTTATACATATGTAAAAATTTAAGCTGAACCCTTAAGATTTGTGCACATCATTGTACACTTCTGATATTAAAAAATTAGGAGATTTTAAACAATAGGTATGGAATTCAGGTGTATACATCTTTTCCCAAAATGAGACAACTCCCTCAAGTAACTCAGCTTTATAAGTAGAGTCAACGCTAGTTGTGGTCTATGACTGACAGAAAGCATTTGTGTTTGTTTTCTTTTTCCAAGTGTAAGCAACTGGAGCCCATTTTTAGGCTGAGTAGAGAAAGGATGAAGATACAGACAAGGCAGAAAATAAGTGAAGAAGCAAGTTCCCCAGAGGGCCGAAGGAATGAAGGAGGCAGCACTGGCAATGATCAGAGGTAAAGGTCTTCCACAGATGACAAGGGAAGCCACAGGTGTGGGACAGACATGAATGAGTCTCGAAGGGTTCAGGAGCAAGAAGCAAAAGTACGTAGCCTTTATTTTTAACGTTAAGTTGATTTCATGCTGAGATACAGTGACTGAGGAAGAGGTGATGATTTGGAACATGTCTGAGTGGCTGCAGAGGCACAGAAGAGATGTGGAAAGACCTGGTGGGAGTATCTGGCATCATCTCATCTTTTGATGAGAGCTTGGACTAGGGTGTTGGTGATGAGCCAATGAAAGTGGGGGAGGTGATGGTTTCAGGAAATGTGGAGAATATCAAATGGAAGGCCTTGAGATGGATGGATGCTGGGTCTGATGGAGGGAGGGGTGCTGAGGTGCCGTCTGAGGGGTTTCCAGTCTTCTAGCCTGCTTGTATGGCAGAACATTCTCTGAACTGGGGATGGGAGGAGGGGGCGTCACAAGTGTCTTCTAAGGCTGAGGAGCTTGAGGTGCCTCTGAGACACTTAAGTGGAGCCATGGGATTGGGGGCAGTGGGGATGGCATTTGGAACAGAGCGTGGGCGGTGGGGCTGCCCAAAGGCACTCCCAGGCTGGCTGAGAAGCGAGAAGGACCCAGAGAGAAAAGAGCCTGGGACTCAGCAGTGATCCAGCTCACTGGGTGGATGACTCCAGCTACACTCAGCAGCATGGATGTGGGCAGAAAAGGCCAAACGTCATGTGGGTGTTTTTCAGGGCAGAAGGGGCAGGAAGATACAGCGCAAGGAGCTGCCCTTGAGTGTCTGATGGACAAACAGGAGGATGGATGAATGGATGGAGATGGCAGGAAAGAGTGGGATACAGCGTGTAGTGTAGAGAGTAATTTCAAGGGGAGGAAAGGCTCCCTCTCCTCTGAGTCCAGAAGGAAACGTGTGATATTACTATCTTTCATTATAATTAAGATAATTACGTGGATACGACTAAGCTGACTTCTGTTGACCCTTACTATAGGCCAGGCACTGTACTGAGCTGTCTGCTGCGCTATCTCATTACATCCTCAAACAACCAATCACACAGAAATTATTCTCTCTCTGATTTTCTGAAGGTAGGCTGAGTACAGCAGGACTGAGTGAGATAATACAAGCCAAGCCCATCGGCCCTTCTCGGGTACACAGTTAAACCACATCCCCAGGCCTGAGGTCCCAGGTGGGGCCAAACACCTAGCTTGTGTCAGTGGACTATGTGGAAGTGAGTATGTGTGCACCAGGGTGTGTCTCTGTCCCTTCCTCTCTCGTCTCCCCTCCGCCAGCTGCCTTATGCCAGAGCAATCTTAAAGCTACCTGTTGACGATAGAAGGCACCTGAGTCCCTGAATAACTGTGGTTCAGAGCTGACCTGCTGGTGCACACTCTAGTGTGTGAGAGAAAGATCCAGGCCCCCAGAAGGTCACAACACGGAGGTCCCCAAATTCTGAGGCAGTGGTCCCCTGAGGGTCTGAAAGCTCCTACCTGGGCAGGGGCTATGTGAGAGGCCTGTCCTCACCGTCCATAGCTCCTGCCTGTGCTCCAGCAGAGGGAAAAACTCTGGTGTGGGAACTGGATGCCCTGTTGATGGAGAAAGAAAGAGGACACAAGTGTTTTGATGAGAAGAAAAAAAACTTTTCATTCGTCTGGGGTTTCATGACAGGAACAAGACCATGCATAAATCTGCTCCCAAAGAAAAGAAAATGCTGATTTGTGATGTGGACACCAAGGGCACAAATCCCACTCGGGCTGTAACAGCTGTAGAGCGTAGTGCTGTCTGTGCAACACCATTGCCCTTGAATTTTATCAGTGGAAGCCAACACTGTTCAGGTGCATACCACTTCACACACAGCCCTGGGACGCCAGGAAGTTGAGGCCCTCCTTCCAGGTGTTTTGTAATTAATCTAAGTCACTGGTTCTCAAACATCCTTCAGAACCACCTAGGGATGTCTGATTCCAACCTTAAACCCAATAAAACAAAATTTCTTGGGGTGAGGCCTCGGCATCAGTATTTCTGAAATCACCCCAGGGAACTGATGCCCAGAGAGAAATTACTAGCAAAAACTGTTGGTGGAAATAAATCAGTGAATGGCATCCTTGATCACTGGTAATCTGAGGTAGGCAGGTAACCTGAGCTGGATTCTCATTGTGAAGAGAAAGCTTTTATTCTCATGCAGGAGGGGAGGACTGAACAAGGGGGCCTACTGCCTCTGCCACTGCAGCAGCATCCTACATCCCCCAGGGAGCCAGGCTGAGGAAAAGGCAGAAGCCTGGTCCACGGAGAGCAGAGAGAACCTTCACATCACTGATGATGTAACTGCACTGCTACATCCACCACTGCCTTGGGGCTTCTCATTAGGTGAGGTGGTAAAGTTCCTTTGGGGGAAGCCAGTTTGAGCTGGTCTTCTGTTGGAGGCAGCCAAATACATCTCAATGGATGGGGGGAGTAAAACATAGGAGAGTTCTGTATATAAGTCCAATGACTGAAATACCAGGACCCACAGAAGTCTCAACTGGCAGACTCTGATCCACAGCCCAGGATTCGTGCAGACACCTCTCAGGAAGGTTCCCTATGTGTGCTTTGTCCCTGGCACCGAGCTCAGAGACGGGGCAGGAGAAAACATGAATCAGACGTTCCTCTGGCTCTGCCAGGAGGAGAGCTCCCCGTCACCTCAGGGCCTCTTCTGCTGGTCCCTCCATCTGGAACTCCGCCTCCACTGCTGCTCCCAGCTAGCTCTTACTCAGCCTTCAAGTCTCAGCTCCAGCGTCACTTCTTAAGGAGCCATTTTCAAAGTACCCACGATAGATTATGACCCCTGGTTATATATTCCTAAATACTCTTTTTTTTCTTTCTGCAACTCATCACAGTTCATCTAAGAATTGATGTCTGCTTTCCCACCTGAACTCAGAGTGATGGGTCTGCAGAGCACAGTCTGCCATCATAAACTGACCCACATTTTATTTTTCCTAAATATTTTATTCTAAAAGGGAACCCTGTTTTGCTCTGGTAAATGAGAAAGTCACTCTCACTTCCCACAAATAGAAGGTTACCTTCAAAACACAACAATGAAATCAAAATAATGCCATTAACGTCCCAGTGAGCTCATGCGGCCTACTCAGGGCTGTGAGCTGGAGGCTGCTCCCTCTGCTGAAGAGAGAAATTAGCCACCACTGGGAGACATGAAAGACTCAGCGCTGATCTGAGACTTTCTCTTGACAACAATCAGCATGTCAGATAGAGAAGGGAAAAGGATCGGCTTTCTCAGAGTGTCCACCTGTGGCATTTGATGACATCCCTGTGCACCCTCTAAAATCATCTGTACCAATGGAGGATTGTGGCCCAGGCTACAGGAAACATGTGAGGATCACGTAGACACCAGGGGCCTTTTTACCAAGATGGTGTTGTTCAGGAAGATCTCTGAGGCACACTGATGACAAATGCCACCTGGAGGTCTGCCTGACTCACCCTTTCTTCTGAGAACAGCCCATCACCCATGGCCCAGCCAACTGGGCTGTGGGGACACTTGACCCAGACTGGTTGAGTCAGTCAGCTCCCCTTCTGTGGAATCCAGAATAAGGACCTCAGACTGAGGCCCCAGTGTCCTGGGAGCTGGGTGAGGGTTTGTGTTCAGAAGGACCTTGTTTCTGACCCAACGATCCCTGATGCAGACACAGGGAGACCAGGCAGGAGAAGGGACAAGAAAACTGCAGGGGCTGTGGGGAGGAGGGACGGTGGCTCCTGTGACCTCCTTGACCAGCCAGGAATCAAGGAGGCTGAGGTCCCCCACAGGGGTGACATGTAAGCCCTTACCCAGTGAGACCAGGAGCCTGCAGGTCTCCAGCATCACCTCCTGGTACAGGGTCCTCTGATGCAGGTCAAGCTGTCCCCACTCTTCCTGGGTAAAGGTCACCGCCACATCCTTGAAGGTCACCAACACCTGGAAAGTCAAACAGGTAGTGATGTTGGCCTTGTGCTGCTGGATGAGATAAAAGCCTGTCACTTAGTCACTGGTGAAGGTGCAGAGAGACCCAGGCCCAAATCACCAAGGCCTTCTGAGGGGTGAGTTCAGTTTTGGGCTCAAGGGGGAGGTGGACGTGGCCTTTGGACACAATGCAATTGTGTGGCTGAGAGAAAAGCCTCCCATGGGGGAGGCCACTGGAGATAAGAGACAGTGGTGTTCCTGTGAGGGCTGTGGGAGCAGATGGTAAGTGCTCTGGGACGTCAGAGCAATGGGGAAAATGATCATGATGACAACTCCAACAATGAAAACAGCAGCAGCTGAGCCTCCCTGGTCCTCGCCGCGTGCCCGCCCCGGGCTGAGGGCTTCACAGACTGAGGTAAAGTGACTAAAGATCTTGCTGTGGAGCCAGACTCCCAGGGTTTGAATCAGGACTCCTGAATCTGCCTCTTGCCAGCTGTGTACCATGGGGAGGACATTACAGTGTTTCTCTATGCCTCGATTCCACATCAATACAATGATCATTGCCACTTCCCCAGGCAGTTCTGAGAACTAAAGAGAAAGTGTTCCCATGGCAAGTACTGGGGTGCCTGGTCCCAGTAAGTGTTCAATGTCATTTGTGACTTCTACTAAAAATCCTCCCACAGTCCATGAGGTAAATGCCATCATCACCTCCATGTCACAGCCAGCAGCCTGGGGCTCAGGCAGCTCTAGAAAGTCACCCACAATCTCACATTTAAGGGGCAGAGGCAGGATTTGAACATCTGGCAAAAGGTGGCACAGAGCTACCAGAAGATGGGCAGGTGGGGGCTGCGGTACCTTAGCTAGAGCTAAAACAGAGGAAAAGATGATCCTAAGAGGTGACCGACACACAGTAAGGGGGCCGGGAGACAGCCCTACAGAGACCTGAGGACAGGGACCCAGGCAAAGAGAAGTGCGAGGGCAAAGCCTGCAAAATGGGAAGAAGTTTGGCAAGTTCTGGAAGTATGGCTGGGTGCAGTGAGCAAGGGAAGAACAGAAGAAGCATGGAGGGAGAGGCAGGCGCAGATCTAGTGGAGCCCTGTGGGCCGCGGCAGGGGGTGGGGGGTGAGGGGAGGGTGTGAGTATTTATTATGAGTGTGATGAGAGCCCCTAAAGGGGAGGCCCATTCATTCAACCGTTTATTGAGTGCTTTTTACAAGCCCAGACCATTCTAGGTCTTGGCATAGACCAGCAAGAGACACATTCTGGGACTGGAAAGGGATCCTACGCAAACAACTAAATAAATGAGCAAGACATTGTCAGAGGGCCCTGAACATTCCAAAGGAAAGAAAATGGAGCAAGGAGATTAAAGAGATGATAGACCACTTTAGATGGGGCAACGGAGACCTCTTTAAGGAGGGGACACTGGAGTGAGTCTGCAATAAAGTGAGGGAGGGACCTTCACCTGGACGGGAAATTAACCAATAAGACAATCCCCAACAGTGATCAGGGCTACCATGAGGCTACTCGGGATGACTGCTGGAGAGTTACCACACTCCTGCACACGATCATCACTGACCACTTGAATGGACTCACTTTTCTAATATAACTGAACGTCTTAAAAAGGGAAATAGATTCACTATTGTCAGTGGGAAGCCAGTTCTACCTGCTGTAAACTGAAAGATAAATTCCTTGGCCTTTATGGCTCCCAGACTGTCCCGCCACCGTTTCAGCCCTCACATAGCAGCAATCCCAAAACGCTGCTCCTGCCTCTCCCCAACCCAAGCCGGATCCCTGTAGAGGCCAGAGGCCAGGGAGGGCCGAGAGTCAGACTCCTGCTGGGTGAGCCTGTAAAATCAACACAGGCCCAGGAGACATCTCTGGAAACAGCGCCGGAGCGATGCTCCCTGGACCGTGCTGGGCAGTGGGAGACACAAACCCATACACACTTTCCAGTTCCCTCAACTCAGGAAAAAGCACCGTTAATATTCCTATTTTATAACCAAGAAAATAGAAGCTAAGGGCAGCAGGGGCACTTGCTCCTAGTCACAGCCTCGGGAAGGGGCGCGGCCAGAACCCACAGGGAAGTCTCCAGATTCTGCCCCCTCGCTCCTCCCTGCAGGTCGTTCCACGCGCACGGCGCGGGGTCGTGGGGCGGAGTGGGTTCCAGAAGCCACATCTCTCCCTTCCACACAGCATTCTATTGGCTGAAGAAATGGGACCGTCCCCCGGTAGCCCCTGACCTGGATTCGGACCCTGGAGCCGACAGCCCCCAATCCTGAGGCTCAGAGAAACGACGGCCGGGAGACGGCAAGGCGAAGGGTCACAGGACGCCGCCATCCCGCACGTCAGGCGCCGTGGCCACGCGGGTGGGGTCCTAGCGGGCGAGGGGCTTGGGGCACAGTCCACTAACCTGCAGGGGGTCCAGCGGCGGCGCCATTGGACCGTGGGGACAGCAGGGCCGCGCCGGGGGCAGGGAGCGTCCCGCGGGCTCAGCCGACCCTCCCTCAAGTCCTACAAAGGGGCCGAGGTGCGTCCTCCTCTCTGTCTTTCCGCCTTCCGTCCAAACAAGCGGCGCGGGGCTCACCGCGGGTGTGGACAGACCCCCGCCCCGGCACAAACACGTCCATCCCCGCGCCGCCTCTGTCAATACGGGCCAGCCACGCCCCTTTCCGGTTCGACAACGGTCGGGCACAGACAGCTGTCCCGCGGAGTACAGCCTTCTGGGCAATGTAGTTTTTATTCTGCATCCCACCAGGCAAGGGACGCTGTGCTCTTTCCAGGAGCCGAGGGCGCAGAGGCCCGGAGAGGCGCCCTGGGAAAGGGAGTGCAGAGGCTCCAACGGAGGAAGAGAGGCATCGGATGTTCCTAAAGGGGACGCGCCCAGATTTCTCAGCAGTGTTTTCTCCATCTTGTTATTTCAGACGTTCCCAATGGTGCAAGTGCCAGTCACAATATGAGGGAGTAACAAGATATGTCATTCAGATACAAAGTAGGAGTCATAGCTGCGAACTAATAACCACCTTGTTGCTCTTCAAATATACGCAGATTGAAGCTTTAGAGCCAATTTTGTGAGTTTTGTATGTTGGCTCAGGGTCAAGAGAGAAAAGACGTTACAGAAGGCTGTTACTGAGATGTTGGGGAGGAAGATATTGGATGTCCCTGAAACAGGGGAACGATAGAGAAAACTTTGTTTTCTATAAATTTTTAAATAAACTTGTGAAGTTCTTCAAAATTCTGTGTGGGATATATACAGTGGATTTAATTTACATAAATGAGGAAAGTCTGACATAAATTATAATTTTAAGCTTATATTATCCAAGTATCTTTATATTTATTCTGCCCTTCTATTTTTTAAAAATATATTACTTAAAAAAGGGAGAAAATATGTTATAGACTCCATTCAGCAGAACAGGAACCCAAAGAAAAACCTGAATGCACACACTGCAATGTCATTCAGTCACGAAATACGTGCGTTCAATAGTTTATAGTTTCAATAATATTTTCAACCAACAAATATTATCTTATTACTCTTTAACTATATGTAGATCAAAGCTTCCGAGTCAATTTTGTAGGCTTCAGTATGTGCAATCAAGGGACACAGAAGAGAAGAGTTCAGCCAGGGTCATGACGGGGGAAATGGATGAGGGATGTCAGGAGGCCCAGAAGGAAGTAGACAATGTGGCATTCTGCCTGTCCCCCCACCCCCCGCCCCGTTGCATACACACACACACATTCTTCCTGCACAGATACATCTCAGTGTTTATGTTCCAACCCCAGCAAGGCCCATTGTTTTTTCCATATAATATTTCTAACTCAATTTCTTGACATCGATACTGCTATGGTCCCAATGCTTGTTTTCCCCTCAATTCATATGTTGAAAATCTAATGCCTAATATGATAGTAATAGGAGATGAGACCTTTGGAAGGTGATTAGATACCAGAGCCCTTATGAATGGAATTAGTGCCCTTATAAAAGAAGCCCCAGGAAGTTCCCTTGCCCTTCCTACCATGTGAGGACACAGAGAGAAGGCTGTCTATGAACCAGGAAATGGGTTCTCACCAGACATCGAATCTTCCAGAGACTTGATCTTGGACTTCCAGCCTCTGGAACTGTGAGAAATAAATTTCTGATGTTTATAAGCCACCCAGTCTATGGTATTTTCTTATAGCAGCCCAAAAAGACTAAGATAGATACAATTCATTTTAGAATCTTAGACGTATCTGAAAAGAAGAGCCATTTACCAAATGCTTTTTCCTACTATGACAGTGGCTGGCATGATCATGGTCTGATCATGTGTACAAAGGGGGCGTCTTATCCCTGAGATAAACATTTGCTTATTGTTTGAGGATGATGTTAGTGATCCAAATAATTATTCTGAAAATTGCTAAATAGAATGAAGGTATCAAGCTCTTTCTTCTCTTTTCTGTACAGACTGTATTCTGAGGTAACAGGAGATTATGGAAAATTCTTCCTTATAAAGGATTTTTAGCTAATAAATGCAGAAATAGCAATAGAAGTAGGATACAAATGTTTCAACAGCTCATAAAATAATTAACTACCCAATGATCATCATTGAGTGCTAACACAATAGATAAAAGATGCATGGCAGATTGATATTGGATAGAAAATACTAGTAACATTACGACCCAATCACAGGAGAGAGACACCCAGACATCAGAGCGGGCTTATGTGATCCAGACATAATTTCTCAGCACTGTGTGGAGTATTATGGCCAAAGGGTGAATCTGGATTTCAAACTTGTTTGGATGGCAAGACTATTCACTGAAATTGGGAATGTGGAGTAATAGGCAAGATGATGAATTTCTGTTATGATGAGCTCAGGGTGCATTTGAGACATTCAAGGGAAGACATTGGGTAGAGGAGATGGGGGAGCACTTGGAACAGACTCAGGATCTGATTTGGTGCTGGCCACGGACACTTATTGGCTGGCTGAGCAGCCTGAAGGATGGCTAGTGGGAAGAGGCCACACATGGCAGCAAAGCCTCCAGCTGCCTCTGCAGTCAGCTGTGAGACAGACAAGTCTAAATATCATGTTAGTATTTTGAGTACACAAAGGCCATGGAGACATAATACAAGGAAATGCCTCTGAGAGTCTGATGGACAAAGAGGAGGATGAAGAAATGAATGGAGAATGTGGGAAAGGATGGGATGCAGAGTATAAAAGAGATAGTAATTTCAAGGGGAAGAAATATCCCTTTTTTCTTGAGTCGGGAAGACAGTCTATGAGAAAACATACGATATTACTATTTTTCATTATGATTAATATTACTACATGGATAATACTAATAGTTTACTTTTGCTGAGCCATTTCTTATGAATAAGGCACAACACTATGCACTTCTCTGCATTATCTCATTACATCCTCAAGTAACCCAATGACACAGGAATGATTATCACTCTATTTTTCAAGAGTAGGTTGAGTATTTTTTAAAAGTAGCTGGTACACAGGATATTTCAGATCCAATAAATTAGGTTAATTAGAAAACACCTTCTGGAAGGAGGGGTTCATATTCCCAATGTCCAATGGGATTGTAAAGCAAGCCCATTTTCTCATCTCCTCAGGAACACAGCTGAACCACATTTCCCAGACCTGAGCACCCTGGTGTGGCCCAACGCCTACTTCCTGTCAATGGAATGTGAGTGGAAGTGATGTTTGTGTGCAAATGGGTGTGACTTCTGCCCTCCCCTTTCATTTCCCCTATGCAACCTAGATGATGCCAGAGCAAACACAAAGCTAGATGGGGACATTAGAAGGCACCTGGGTCCCTGAATAACTGGTCCAGAGCTCCAAGCTGACCCACACTGGAACTTGATGTGAGAGAGAAGCAGGGAGGCCACACTGAGGAGCTTCCCACAGAAGTCCAGAGGCAGGGGTGCCCTTGCAGTCTGAAGCCTGCAGTGGCACACATATACTCAGCTTCTGGCTGCCCTTGTGAACACACACTTTGGTCTCCTTATTCAGAAACGTGGTATGTATCTTCACATTAAAGTGTTAGGAATCTCTTCCTGTAGGCCTTGCACTAAAGGATTCTATTTTGAGTTTTCCTCACAGCCTCCTATGAAGCAGGTGGCTGACAGGCACCATTTTCCACAGGGTGAAACCGAGGCTCAGGGAGATCAACGTAACTGCTGAAAGGCGGGGAACTGATGAGCAGTTGATCCAAGCTGGAGACCCAGGTTGGCCGTCTCTGGCATCTGTGCTGTATAATCACAAAGCTACGCAATACTGCTCTGGAAGGGGCCAAGTCCTGGTAAAATGATGATGACGATGACAATGATGACGATGACTGCAGCAGGGATCATAACCATCAACAGGCCCATAGTTAGGGAGCACCAGGCGCTGTCCTATGCACTTTTCATACATTAACCAATTTATCCTAATACAGTCCTGAGCAGTAGATACCGTGTTATCCATTTTACTAAGGAGGAAATGGACACGCAAAGAGGTTCATTAACTTGCACAGGGTCACACAGCTCACGAGCAGCGGAGCTGGAATTCAACACCATCAGTGGGCCTCAGGAGCTGGGCTCCTGGGTGCTACACAAAGAAGGAAACGATGTGCAGCTGCTGTGTGAAGCCAGCAGCCTTAGCGGAAGCGGGCCATGAAGGCAGGTGTGGGGGGCGGTATGAGTGAGAGAAGTTAATAGGGGGAAGAGCCTATGAAAGGGGATGATTTGGTGATACCCAGATGTCAGCATTTCATGAACCACTAAAAAGAATTTTAAAACTAGAAAGCCCACACAGAAATTTGCTCCAAAAAGAACATCTCACAGACATCAACTATCATTTCCTCTCACCCACATTTCATAAAAGAAAGAACTTTTACCACCAAAGAAGGGAGAGGATGGCATCTCACAAGGGAGGGGCATCTTCTAAAGTGAGTAAGTTGAGCTTGATGAGGAACTTACTGCATTTGGCTGTATTTTCCTGACATTGAGAGGACAGAGATGTCATGAGTCTTAAATGAGTGGCCATCAACAGTGCCTGGAACAGACCCAACATGTACTCAGTGTCAGGAAACATTAGCTGTGGCCATTGATATTACTGGCTCCAATTTAAATGGATCTGCTTTTTATTTACCTTAAATAGATATATTCTAAAAGGGAATTGTTCATTGCTCTGGTAAATTGGAAAATCAGTTTGATTGGCTGCAAATGGAGAACTGCCCTCAAAACACAGCGATGAAATTGAAATAATAAAATCAAGTCCCAGCGAGCTCACGCTGCCTGCTGAATGCTGTGAGTCTAAAGCTGTTCTCTCATTAAAAAGAGAAATTATCCACAGCCAGGGCAGCATCAATGACCAAGTGCTGAACAGAGACTTCCTCTTGAAATCATTCAGGCAGAAAAGAGCAGGGAGAAAGGATCGTCTTTCTCAGGGAGATCATCCACGCCATGTGAAGACGTTTCTGGGCACTCTCCAGCAGAGGGGTGTGGCCTGGGCTTCAGGAAACAGGGAAGATCATGTAGACACCAGGAGCATTTTTACCGAGATTGTGTTGTTTAGGAAGATCCCCGGAAGGCGCTGATGGCAAATACCACCTGGAGGTCTGCCTGACTCAGCCGCTTTTCTGAGAACAGCCCATCACCCACGGCCCTGCTAACTAGGCTTTGGGGATAATTGCCTTAACCAGGCTGAGCTAGTCAGCCTCTCTCTTGTGGATTCCGGAATAAGGACCTCCAACTGAGGACAGAGTTGCTGGGCCCTGGGGTTAAGATTGTGTTCAGAAGGCATATTTCTTGTCTGATGTTTCCTGATGCAGACACAGGAAGACCAGGCAAAAGGATGTGAGACTAGAACACAGAAAACAGCAGGGGCCGTGGGTAGACACAGGAAGGCTCGAGAGGCGGTGCTTAGCAGCCACCCATGAGCAAAAGGTGGAAACAGGAAGGAAGCCTTGGGTTGTCCACATGGCAGAGAGGTGAGGTCTTACCAAGGAACGCCAGGAGTTCACAGTTCTCCATCATATCCTGCTACAGTGTCCTCTGGGGCAGGTCCAAATCCCCTTATTTCTCCCAGGTGAAGGACACAGTGATGTTCTTTAAGGTCACCAATGCCTGAAGAGTCAGAGGGTGCCAGTAGGCTTGGATTGTTGCATGAGATTAGAACCTATTGCTCAGTCACTGGGAAAGCTGTAGAGAGTACCACTGAATCACTGAGGCCTCCTGAAGAATTTCTATGTTGGCCTACTGAGGGAGGGCCACGTGGCCTCTGGACATAATGGAATTGTAGCTGAGATGCCTCTAACTGGGGAAGCAATTTCTGAGTGAAGTCTGCTACTGGGCCTCTGGATGGCTTCTACCCCCAACCCCGTGTCCCCATGCACTCACATTCAATCATCCAAACTGTGAGCCTCCAGGTTGTGCCAAGGTGTGCACCTGCACCCTATTCTGACCCCCATCAGTGCTTCATCAAGCCTGTAGAATGATGGGGAGAGTGGTTCTCTCCAAACCACACAGTCCCCGCATTGTCACACTCAGTACATGGAGACTGTGTGATTGTATGTGTGTGCATGTTGCAGAAATAAATGAAAACCATCACAAATGAGCACAAGCAAAAGCTATAGGCTATTTATTCACAGTTTGCTACAGCAAGACAGTCACCGTCGCTTGCTTTGGCAGACACTCAAAGGCAGACAGCAATATGGGAAAATTTGATGATGAAAGAAGAGAAAGCTTCAGGAACTCCCTGACGGAGGCCGTTAGCATGGGGAGGCTGGAGGCGGGCTACCTAGCAGCAACACATCCTATGTGATTGGCTAGGGGAACACATTTGGCTTGCTCTAGTTGGTCCAGAGTCAGAAGTGGGGCAGATTTTAGGAAGCTAACAACTATTCACCAAGTCCTGCCCGTTGTGGGTTGATTACTACAGAGGATGTGGGTCACAGTTCTATTTTCATACATGGTCTGGCCATTGTCTGTGTGCATATTCAGTCTCCATGTATGCGCATGCAAGCCACACACCAGACCCTGGGGCATCCTTATCACCTGCCTGTCTCACAAATCTCTGTGCGGTATTGGTGCTTTCATGTGGCCACAACTCCTATGGTGTATCGGTACCTGTGCCTGTCTCACAGGTCCCTCGTGTGCTTTGCATATGCTGGCTGGGTGTCCCACGTATGTCACACTTGTTTTCTGTTGTGGATGTGGTAAATGCACGTGTGTGTACAGGCTGTGTTGAGGTGTCAGTTTCACATACCTGTTGCACAGGGTTCGAGATATGTTTGTCTCTAGGATATGCTGCAGTGACACTACCAGACACGAAAATGCACTCTCCCACTCTCCTGGGGACATCTGCAACATATGGTAACTGAAATGCTTTTGTTTCCAGGCTGAGTTGCAGTGTTCTAGCAAAACACACTGTCACACTGCATGGGTTTCCAGGTGTGTCACTCTTACATATTTATCTACCAGGAGTAGACCTCAATCATCCATCTCATTACCATCCAGTGTACAGGAAATATGGGAGGGTCAAGCATGGTAAACAGCTTCAGACAGATGCAAAAAAACCCAAATCCAGAACATGGCAAATTCTGATGGACAAACGACTAAGCAACTTCAACAAACGACTGGTCCAAGAATTTAAAAATGAAGTGATATCTGTAAGTTAGTAGAGACTTACCAGATACATCTACTAAAAGTCATAGAGATTCATTTTGGGTCTGATTGCCTTAAAGAATAATCATATTTTTGGGAAAACTGAAAAAACCTGAGCACTGACAATATACTTTATGACACTTCAAATATTTTGTTTGAAAAAGTTATTAGGATTATGAAAGAGTCCTTATGTTTTGGAAATGCATTCTGAAGAGATTAGGCTTTGAATGACAAGATGTTGGGATTCTAAGTAAAACAATTCAGTAATGTGTGTGGTGACAGATGAAACAAGAATGGCCATGAATTGATCAATGATAACAGACTGGGGATGAGGCCACAGAGCTTTATAACACATTCCTTTCAAGCACATGTTTGAAAATATCCATTACAAAGGGTAGATGATGTCCTTTTATCAATTTTATGTTAGGAGGGATGGATTGAAAAGCACAGAGGAAATTTTTGGTTTCAGGGATTTAAGCATGTATCAAAACACAAATTGTACACTTTAAATATGCACAATTTATTATAAGACAATTATACTTCCATGAAGCTATTTTTAAAGTAAATGTAGTAAATACTCAAAAGTTGTCACTTCCAAATTATTTTAGTCTGTCTTACTCTTACATATCTTCCCGAGGTTATCGTGACCACTGCATCATGTGGTGGGAACAGAATACAATGCTGTGCTACTGCATGTCTCTTCCCAGCTCCAGGTTTAGTGACATCATTTTGGCAACTTAAAATTGGCCAGGATGCGAGTATATACACCACAGAAACTGACCAACACTACAAAACAGGGCTTGCTTATTTTACTGAATTTATACTGTGACTAGCACAAAAAATTGAGAAAATATTCTTATAGTATTCAAAAACAATACTTCTATTTAGCAAAGATGACATATCACTGCTGAAGAATGAGTGAAGTTCCAACAAATGTCTTTGTTATACATATGTCTTTTTATTTATTAATGAAAAGGAAAATATCAGCCAACATCCATTGAAAAATAAGCAAATGGCATTAAGTCATTAAAAAAGATATACAAGTGGCAAACACACAAAAAAATGCCCAATGTCATGAAGCATCACAGAACTGCACTTAAAATCACAGTGAGATGCCATTACACCCCTACTAAAACAGCTAAAATTAAAAAGACCAATGAATACCAAGTATTGGCAGAATGTGGAGAGACAGGAGCTCTCATGTACTATTGGTGCGAACATGGGTACAACCAGTTTAGATCAGAGTGTGGCAGTTTCTCAAATATTGAAACATTCACATACTCTGAAGTATTGGCACAAGAGAAATAAAACACATATCCACAGAAAGAATTGGATGCCTCTGTTCACTGCAGCTTTATTTCTAAAAGCAGCAAACTAGAAACAATGCAGCTGCCCATTAACAGATGAATGGATAAACAACAGTGGCATATGCATAGAGAACACTACTCAACAGTGAACTCTTCATACAAGCAACATTGATGAATCTCAAAATAATTATGCAGTGTGAAAAATATCAGAAAAAAAGAGTAAACACTTCATGATCCAATTCATGTAAAATTCTAGGCAATGCAAACTAATCTGTTATTAAAGAAAGGAAATCATTGGACTCCTGTAGGCCTAGGAAGGACAAGATTATAAAAGGGCACAAGGAAAATCACGGATGTGCTCATTATCGTGACTATGATGGTTTTATGGGTTTATAAGTAAGACGAATGTTTTCAAATTGTACACCTTAAATATGTGTAGATTACTGAATGTCAATTATGCCTCAATAAAGTTTCTAAAAAATAGTTCAAAATTAAAAAATCTAGATCTCTCACTCTTTTTGGAAACCAGAAGGTTTACTATCCCACTCCACTCTACTGTTAAGCCATCTCCACTCTATTTCTCCTTATTCCTGGGGAAGGACAGTCATGAATCAGCGCAGGAAATACTGGCGAGCACTGGAGGCTGTTCCAATCTGGGACAACAGACAACAGGACCACTGGCTGGATCATAAAAGCCACGTTCCTGGACAACAGGCCCTCCATTCTCTGTCCTCATGTCCCTGCCTTTACAGCAATGGACTTGAGGTAAACAGACTGGAAAGACAACTGGAATTCACAAAACCTTCAGATTATTTGTTCTAACAATGACTTCAGCTGCAGAAGATGCACAGTCTGGAGGTCCTGTGATTCCTCACAGCCACAGTCACTGGAAGATTTGTGGACGTACCTTCAGAAGGGGCACAGTCCATCTGGTTTGCTGCAGGCTCTTCACTGCCTATTAATCACACCCAGGATTTCAGTACCAATCATGGTTCACACCTGGTTCCTCTGGTCTGATGAGTGACATAGCCTACAGAAATATGGACATCAGGACACTTGGTTCCTTTGTAGAGCCTGGTGAAAAGCTTCCCCTCAACAGTGCTGGGCATTGTGTGACACCCCCCGGGGAACAAGAGAAGAAATTCATGCCATGCCCAAAGGCACTGGAGCTTGCCAAAGCAAGTGACCCCTCCTCAGGGTGACCTATGGTCTCACAATATATGGAGGCATCCAGGACACAAATCAGGACCACAAAGCAACGCATTGGTTCCTAGGTCTTGGGCAGCAATGCAAATTAGGACAAAACTGGAATGAGAACTACTCTCTCTCGTACTGTCCTTGCTGAGGCGCACACTCAGTTGAAGGCCCACAAAAGCCATCCATCCCTTCACACAAATGGAGCCCAATTCTGTTTTCTACCCACCAAAAACAGTGCCTGTAACCCCCAAGATTAAAGGTAGATTAAACAGTAAGAATTTTATTACAGCACAAACCAGAGGACGGTGAGGCAGACAGTCACCAGTTGATGACTTGGAGGCTGGAAAAATCAACAGGGGTCATGTGAGACCAACAATTTCCATGAAGAAGAAAAAGCCTTCCCTGCAAGCCTCCGGCAGAGCCCACCCTTAGCCCAAACTAGGTCATATTCATACTGAATCAATCAGAAAAAGGAAATTGCTGTAAAGGCACACGCTAGTCAAAATTTCCTTCAGGGACTGGGAGAGTGACAGCACAGAAGTCTGCTTTGCCTTAGCACATCGGGGTGACCAAGAAACACTGTGCAAGGTGGTAGAGTTGAGATGGCTTCTACCAGAGAGGCTGGCAGTCACGTAACTCTGGCAAGGGCCCGGGGAGTTTAGAGTGTGCAATGCAGCTCCTATAAACCTCATATATGTCTGAACTCCTGGGGAATTTCACCCCTCTGCATGTTTGGAAGTATGAGGTTCAACTTCAGGCAGATGGCTCCCTCACAAAAGCCATCTAGTGCCATTACAGTGAACAAGGAGACAGCACATTTCCTTCAGGTCTGAGGCCTTTCCCAAGTGTGGACTTTCTGGCACTAAATGTTAGATGTTGGAGTAAAGGATTTCCCATATTTCCTGCGTTCATAGGGCCTCTCCACGGTGTGAAATTTTCGGTGGAGATTGAGGCTGGAGCGTTGGCTAAAGGATCTGCCACATCTGCTGCATTCATAAGGCCTTTCTCCAGTGTGAACTACCTGGTGTTGAATGAGAACAGACTTTTGCCTAAAGGATTTCCCACACTGGCCACACTCATAAGGCCTGGCTCCAGTGTGAATACTGCAGTGCTGAATAAGGCTGGTGCTGCGACTAAAGGATTTTCCACATTCACCACACTTATAAGGCCTTTCTCCAGTATGAATTCTCTGGTGTTTAGTGAAGATGGCTCTTCTGCTAAAGGACTTCCCACACTGGCCACACTCAAAAGGCCGTGTTCTACTGTGAATTCGCTGGTGTTCAACAAGGCTGTAGCTTTGTCTGAAAGATTTCCCACATTCAGTGCACTCATAAGGCCTTTCTCCAGTGTGACTTCTGTTGTGCCGATCGAGTTTAGATTTGGATCCAAAGGCTTTCCCACATTCCCCGCACTCATAAAGCCTTTCACTAGTATGAACTCTCTGGTGTCTAATGAGAGTGGCTCTTTGACTAAAGGATTTCCCACACTGGACACACACATAAGGCCTTGCTGTGGTGTGAATTCTCCGGTGTTGAACGAGGGTGAAGCTTTGTCTAAAGAATTTCCCACATTCGTTGCACTCATAAGGCTTTTCCCCAGTATGAGTTCTCTGGTGCCGAACAAGATTGGATTTGCACCCAAAGGCTTTCTTACATTCCTCACATGCATAAGGCCTTTCTCCACTATGAATTCTGCAGTGTTCGATAAGGTTGGAGCATTGACTAAAGGATTTCCCACATTCACCACACTTATAAGGCCTTTCTCCAGTGTGCACTCTCTGGTGTATAATGAGGGTGGCTCTTTGCCTAAAAGATTTCCCACATTCACTGCACTCATAAGGTCTCTCCCCAGTGTGGACTCTCTGGAGCTGAACAAGTAAGTACTTACAGTGGAAGGCTTTCCCATATTTGCTAGACTCATAAACTTTTTTTCTAGTGGAGACTCTTGGGTGGTAAACAAGACTGTGTTTGTGGCTGGAAGCTTTCCCACATTCACGCAACTTGTAATGACTCTTTCCACCATGAAAGGCCTCTCCATGCTTGGTGATTTTGTTTGACTTCTCACCGTTGGGAATGATCTGGTGTTGGAGAAGGCCCATTGTGACCAGGAACTCCTCTTTAGTCTTTCTACAGGTGAAGGGATTCCCTGACACATGGAATATACAGCTCTTTACAAATGATGCTCTATCCACGTCCCTTTTCTCTGCATTGGAATGCTTCTGAGGCTGGTGTAGGTTTGCACATGCCCAAACCAAGTATGGTTTCTGCTCAGGTAGATCAGCCAGGTGCAAAATGTCTTTCAAGATTGGAACACACTTCTCACAGGGGTGAGCCTTCTGGGTGGCTGGACCTACCTTTGGAGTCCTGATCTGTGATAAAGCTTCTACAGAAACACTCTGCTCAAAAGGAGTCTCTTCATTCTCTGTTCCATGCCAACAAACTGAAAGAAAAAAAATACTGATGAGTCATGCTGACTATGGTATGAGAACATTAATCATTTTTTTTAACTTTCTGTATAATATGATGTTTTGATATCTTAAAAAACCTTGATGGCCAGTGAGACAGTAGACTTGAATAACACTATAGACCAAATGGGCCTAACAGACATATATAGAACATTCCATCAAACAGCAGCAGAATACACACTCTACTCAAGGGCATAGGGAAAATTCTCAAGGATAGATCATATGGTAGACTACAAAACAAGTCTTACCAAATTTAAGAAAACTGAAATCATATCAAGTATCTTTTCTGACCAAAATGTGATGAAAATAGAAATTAGTAACAGGAGAATTGGAAAATTCACAAATATGTGGAAATTAAACAACACATTCTTAAACAACCAATGAGTCAAAGGTGAAATCAAAAGGGAAATCAAAAAATATCTTGAGAAAAATGAAAATGGAAACACAATACACAAAACTTATGGGATCTAGCAAAAGCAGTCCTAAGAGGGAAGGTTATAGCAGATACATATCTACATTAAGAAAAAAAAGAAAAATCTTAAATAAGCACCCTACCTTCACACCTCAGGGAACTAGAAGAAGAACAGACTAAGGTCGATGTTAGCAGAAGGAAGGAAATAAAGATCAAAGCAGAAATAGAAAGAGACTAGAAAAGCAATAGAAAAGATCAAAACTAAGAGTTCTTTTTAAAAGATAAAATTGACAAAGCTTTAGTTAGAGTAAGCAAAAAAAAAGAGAGAAGACTCAAACAAATAAAATTATAAATGAAAGAGGGGACATTAAAATTATTACCACAGAAATATAAGAATCATAAGAGACTACTATAAACAATTGCACACCAACAAATTGGATAACCTAGAAGAAAAAATGGATAAATTCCTAGAAACAACCAACCTACTGAGACCTAGTCATGATGAAGTAGAAAATCTGAACAGACTAAAAATGAGTAAGGACATTGAAGCAGTAATCAAAAACCTCCCAAAAAAGAAAATCCAAGGATTTGATGGCTTCACTGGTGAATTCTATGAAACCTTCAACAGCAATCCTCCTCCAAAAAGTTGAAAAGGAAGGAACACATCTAAAATCCTTTTACAAGGCCAGTGTTACTCTCATACCAAAGCAAGATAAGAACACTACAACACAAGAAAATTACAGACCAATATCCCTGACGAACATATATGCAAAAATCCTCAACAAAATACTACTAAACCAAATTCAACAGCACAATAAAAGGATCATACACCATGTTGAACCAGGATTTATCCCTGAGATGAAAAGATATTTCCACAAACGCAATAAATGTGATACACCACATTAACAGAATGAAGGATAAAAATCATAAGATTGTCTCAATAAATACAGGAAAAGCACGTGACGAAATTCAACATCCTTTCATGATTAAAACTCTCAATAAATACATATAGAAGGAACATATTTCAATATAATATAGTCTATATATGAGAAGCCCACAGCCAACATCATACTCAATGGTGAAAAGTTCAAAACTTTTTCACTAAGATCAGGAACAAGGCAAGGATGACCAGTCTTGCCACTTCTATTCAACACAGTACTGGAAGTCCTAACTAGAGAAATTGGGCAAGAAAAAGACACAAAAGGCATCCAAACCAGAAAGGAAAAGTAAAATTACCTGTTTGTGTATAACATAATCTTATATACAGTAAACCCTAACAACTACACCAAAAACCTGTTAGAATAAATGAATTCAGTAAAGTTTCAGGATACAAAATCAACATATAAAAATCAGTTGTATTTTTATACACTAACAACAAACTATGCAAAAAGGAAATTAAGAAACAATCCTTTGTACAATAGCATCAAAAAAGAATAAAATACTTAGGAGTAAATCTAACCAAGGAGGGTGAAAGATCTGTACACTGAAAACTATAAAACATCGATGAAAGAAATTAAAGATGACACACATAAATGGAAAGATACCCTCCATTCATGGACTGGAAGAATTAATATTCTTAATTAATGTCAATACTACCCAAAGCGTTCTACAGATTCAATGCAATCTTGTTAAAAATTCCAATGGCATATTTCACAGAAGTAGAAAAAACAATCCTAAAATTCATATGGAACCACAAAACACCCTGAATAGCCAAGGTATTCCTGAGCAAGAAGAACAAAGCCAGAAGCATTGCACTTCATGGTTTTAAATTATGTCACAAAGCTACAGTAATCAAAACAGTGTGGTACTGGCATAAAAACAGACACATAGACCAATGGAACAGAATAGAAAACACAGAAATAAACCCATGAATATACAGTCAACTAAACTTTGAGAAGGGGCCAAGAATACAAAGTGAGAAACAGTGGCTTGTTTGACAAATGGTGCTGGGAAAACTGGATGTCCACATGCAAAAAAATGAAAGTGGACCTTTATCTTACACCATACACAAAAATCAACTCAAAACGGATTAAAAATTCAAATATAAGACCTAAAACCATAAAATTCCTAGAAGAAAACATAGGGGAAAAGCTCCTTGACATTGGTCTTGGCAACGAATTTTTGGATATGACAACAAAAGCAAAAATAAATAATTGGGACTACATCAAACTAAAAGCTTCTCTACAGCAAAGGAAATAATCAACAACTTTATTGAAATGAAAAGACAACCTACAGAACGGGAGAAAATATTTGCAAACCATGTATCTGATAGGGGTTAATAGCCAAACTATATAAGGAATTCATACTACTCAATAGCAAAAAAACAAGTAATCCAATTAAAAAATGGGCAAAGGACCTGAATAGACATTTCTCCAAAGATATACAAATGGCCAACAGGTATATGGAAAGGTGCTTACCATTACTAATCATCAGGGAAATGCAAATCAAAACCACAATGAGATATCACCTCACGCCTGTTAGGATGGCTATTATTAAAAGAAAAAAACAAAGGATAACAAATGTAGGCAAGGATGTGGAGAAAACGGAAACTTAGTACACTTTTGGTAGGAATGTAAATTGGTACAGCCATTATGGACCACAGTATGGAGATTGCTCAAAAAATTAAAAACAGAACTATTATATGATCCAGCAATCCCATTTTGGGGTATTTATCCACAGGAATTTAAATCAAGTTCGCCAAGAGATACCAGCACTCTCACGGTCATGACAGCATTATCACAAAGCCAAGATACAGAAAAACCTTAACGGCCACCGACAGTTGAATGGATAAAGAAAACGTCATATATACGTACAATGGAATACTATTCAGCCATGAGAAAGAAGGAAATCCTGCTATTTCCTTCTTGGATGGATCTTGAGGGCACTAAGTTAAGTGAAATGAGCCAGACACAGAAAGACAAATACTGTATGATCTCACTTATACGTGGAATCTAAAACAGTCAAACTCATAGTAGCAAATAGTAGAATGGTGCTTGCCCAGGGCTGGGGGAAGGGGAAAACGGGAAGGTGGTGGTTGAAGGGTACAAAGTTTCAATTAGCAAGATGATAAGTTCTGGAGATCTGCTACACAGCAGGGTCTACAGCCAACAATACTGTAATGCACAGTCAACATTGGCTACAAGGCGAAATCTTATGTTAAGTATTCTTACCACACCTACCTAATTTATTAAAAATTAATACTGATAATAATAAACGGTAGAAATAATAAATATTAAATGGGAGGAAACTCTGGGAGGCGATGGATATGTTTAGGCCTTGATGGTGATGATGGTTTCAAGGGTATATACTTATCCCCAAACCCACTGAGTTGTATACATGAAATATGTACAGCTTTTTACATGTTAATCATTCCTCAATAAAGCAGTTTAAACATAAAAAAATAAATAAATAAATAACCTTAAACATTTACTAAAAGGCACCAAAGGCCAAACTTCATAAACATAATCATTAGTGGGGCTCAAATTATACCTGGGGATCCCGCTCCTTTTACTCACCGTACCCCCATACTGCTAGAAAAGTAACCAAATATAAAACAGAGAAAAACAGATATGCCTCACTTGAACTGTAGCCTTTCCTAAATTTCCCAATGTCATAGCACCCACTACCCGAAAATATCCCATACTGAGCACAGATGCTCTAACATGATGATGATAAATTTAAATTAACATAAGTCTTTGACACAAACTGACTTCATAAGACAGCACCCCATAGGCTACTCAGTAAAAACAGTTAATACAGCCCAATGTAAGTTAAAACAGGGCCTTCAAGGATTAAAACTTATTATATAAAATCTAATAAATAAAGGGGTGATTATCCTCACTGCTTCCCCATTCTATAGCCCAATCGTGCCTGTTCTTAAATCTGGAAAAACTAAAGGGTGCCTCATGGACTACAACCCGCATGCTGTGGCCCTATCCATCAGGACTTGATACCCAATGTCAATATTATTAAAACGACTAACTCAATCAGAACTTGCAACACAAAGTGCCATGCATACTTTCCTCCTGCCAGTGAGAGCACAAACAAGGAGAGATGCATCAGGCTGACTGCCAGACGCCTGAATCTCAGGCCCTCTCCTGCACACCTTGGGGCAAAAGGACTTCTGGCTGCTCAGGGCAGCGCACACAGCTCAGCACTGGCATCCATAGCACACAAGAATAGGAAGTGGGGAAGTTAGCAGAGCCCACAGTCCAGCTGTGGCAAGAACAGAGCTGCCTCTGGGGGAAAAGAGGACAGAGAGGGACCAGGTCACTGGGGTGGGTGAAGGGCCTTACCCAGAGAGGCTATAAGTGCAAAGTTCTCCAGCACTGTGTCGTGGTACAGGCGTCTCTGAGCCTCATCTAGGATCCCCCACTCCTCCTGGGAGAAGTCGATGGCCACGTCCTCAAAGGTCACACAGTCCTGCCATGATGCGGACAGATCATTCCATGATCAACTTCTCTCCTAGGACCCCAAGTTCCTCTACCCACACATCCAACCTCTGCTCACCCTCCTCCCAAAATCCCCACCTTAGAGGAAATATTGGCCCTGGTGCCACAGATGCCTGCCCTCCTTTCACGGCATCATGACTAGCGTGTCTGCTCATAGTAACGACAGGCAGGTGGGCAGGGAGAAACCATCTAACAGTGGGCCTGGCACTAGGGTGTATGGCCCACTGTAGGCAATTCTTCTGGAGTCCCCCAGATTATGCCTCTCAGACACAACCAAATGTGGGCTCGCCCTTCACTCTTACGTCCTCAATGTTATGGCCATAGGTCCTTCAGTTCACACTCTTTCTCCTTGTCACTCTATCTACCACACCTCTCTCTCAGTCTCACTCCAGCAGCCACTTCTACCCTTCTGCCCACACCACAGGCATCTCCCCGGCCTCCCCAATGTTACTCAGCACATGTCATCCAGACGGTGCTGGTAAATTCAAACTGGATCCAGTACTACCCAGACCACTGATGATCCCAACTGGCAGAAGGAACGAAACCTGCTCTGAAGGCCTCCCTGCCCAATTCTTCTCCTTGCTTCAATCTCAGCCACTGAGAACCACCTGCAGATCACAGACACCCATGGCTCTCTTCCACTTGTGCTGCACTTGATGTCCCCTCAGCAGTCACAGGCTCCCTTTCTCCATCTAATCATCATTCAAAGCCCAGCCCTAGAGGTCCTCCACCCCAGGCCCAGTGACTTACCCAGATGGTGAATTGCGCTCCTGTGCTAAATTGCCAGTCTGACTGAAACACCCCAGACACACCAAGATCACAACAAAATCCTGGAGAGCCCACAGAGCAGTGAATAAGCACTAATCCTGGCCTCACTGTCATCTTGTCTCGATTACTCTGCATTCCTCTCATGCCTACACTTCCCATGGAAGCCTTGGCCACCTGACAGATCATCTCCTCTCCTACGGCCTTCCCACAGCCACTTCTCTCGCTCAGCTGTGTTTGTGATGCCCACCAGCCCACCCAGGGACCCAAGCATGAGACCCTAACCCTAACCCCACCTTCCCCTTGCTGGGCTGCTAATACCATTACCATGATGACCATGATCCCCCCCTAACTGTGACCCACAGCTACACCCCAGCGCAGACAGTGGCCACCACCTTTCGGATGCGTCCATACAGAACCCCTCCTCGGAGTTCCAGACCTGTGTGGCCACCCACTAATTGTTCTCTGAAACATCTCAGACTCTTAACATAGCCAAAAACAAAACTGATATCCTCAAGGAAAATTAACCTTACTACCAACTTTAATATACTGGTTAATGAAGTTTCCATCCTTCCAGCTGCTAAACCCCAAAACTTTGAAGTCACCATTGGCCTCCACCTTTCTCTGCTTCATCCTCAAAATCTGAAATTCTAGGTGGGCCTAATTAAAAAACTGATCCAGAATCCAACCAGTTCTCCCACCTCGAGGACCACCACCCTGGTGCAACCACCAACACCCACCTGAAGTACTGCAGTTACCTCTTCCGTGTTATTCCTGTTGCCTCCCCACGCCCCCAGACTGCTCTCCATGCTGCAGCCACAGAGAGCCTGCCGAGACCTGGGTCAGATCACTGTCTCCCACCCCCAACCTCCTATTTGTCCCATCACCTCCAGAAGAGACACCCAACTTCCCCTGGAGCCATTCCAGGCCTGACACCTTCCCATCTGCTCTCAGTTCTCCTTTCTTTCTCAGGAGTCAGGAGACAGGAAAACTGCAGTCCCCTGAACAAACTCAGTCTCAACTCCCAGCATTAGCACGTTCCGGTATCTCTGTCTGGAACAATCTTTTAAATCTCCTTGTACTGGCCGCCCGCAATAGAAACCATTCCATATAACCTCCAGCCTGGATTTACCACCCTGGCTTTGGGTTTCTGCAGGGTCTCCAGGCCCAAGGACTGGAAGAGCGGCAGGTGAAGAGTCCCAGGACACAAGCCCAGAGACAAAGGGTGGGGTCAGGACCACTGAGGGCCTGGAACACCTCCACTCACTCACCTGCGTACAGTCCGTAAGTGCTTCCGTAGTCACCGGGATCTGTGGGAGGGGAGAGGTCATTGGAGGGATGTGACCAGGTCAGGGCCCCACCGGCTCAGGCCTCCCTGTATCCCTGCCCAACCCTGGAGCCAGGTGACCTGGGATGACGGCATTATCTTTGAGCCTCAGTCCTCAGTGCTGACTCTTACAGCTGGGTGACCCTGGACAAGGACTCAATCTCCCCGTGCCTCAGTGTTATCATCCCCTTTCCAGCCTGTTCTAACTCTGAGCAACTTTGAGAGGTGTGAAAGTCTAACTCAGATGATGTGCATCTTCTATTCACACCCCTCCACGGCTACCAGAGGTTGAAAGTAAAACTCCTCACTCTGCCGTTCCAGGAGCGAATGTTTCTGGGTCAGTAGCCCCTCCACGACTTTACACAAACAGGTCCCGCTGCCTGTCACACCTCATCATACTGGCTTTCAGAGATGGGGACCCCTCCCACGAGCGCCTCCCCGGCCCGGCCCTGGGGCCTGGGCGGCAGGCCCGGGAGCAGCGCCCGCCCGAGGGCTGGAGCTCGGCCTGCGCTGCGGGCGGGGCGGGCCGGAGCCGAGCGCTCACCTGAGCCGGCTCCCTCCGCGCGGCCGCCGCCATCGGCCTCGGGGGCGAAGCGGGGTCCTAAGTGGCTGACGACAGAGCCAGGGCCCGCTCACGGCGGCCATCCACGGCCGCCGACCCTCAGACCAGCCGCTGTGCAGTGGGGACCACCCCTCTCCCAGCCCTTTCTTAGTCTGGTCACCAGAAGCTCGACGCCGAGCCCCTAAAATACTGAGATCGCCGCTGACTGGAGGGCAAAGTGTCAGCCACCACAGCGATGCCTTAAGTCCCGCCCCGAGCCTACGGTCCCAAAGCGGAAACGCCCTGTTTTCCGGGCGTTCATTGGCTGCACTCTTGGGCGCGTGTCACCGGGCATTATGGGTAACGTAGTTCTAACGGCAACGCAGGTCGCCCCGAAGGACGCCCGGCACCAGGACCGCGGAGTCTTGGCCGTCGCGTTTGGGCCGCGTGGCTGCGGCGGCTTTCAGCCCTGCGAGTACCAACACTGTCCCCGCAGGGGTGCAAAAGGGAGCCGACGACGGTCCACGCTGGGGTCTGGGGCTCGCGTGGAAGTCCGACCCCACACGGGGACCCTCTGCTGGCCTGGGGGTCGCGGGCGACGTCGGGGTTTCCCGGGTGCGGGGTGGGGATGGGGCTGGCGGCGGCGCGGGGGCGGCACTGGAAGCCCCTTCTGTGGCGGTTCTGAGTACCCTCCGCGTCCCGGGGTCGCTCTATCGGCGCTCTGAACCCCGCGAGGAGGGGTTCGAGACCTGGCCGTGGGGACTGCAGTTCCAGCGCGTCCCTCCTGCCACGCTCACTGTGCCCAGCCGGTGCTGTTCCCTATCAGATGCGCCCTCAGATCACATACGGCTCTACTGCCTTGGGGCAAGTCTGTTCTTAGAGGAAAAAAATTAACCAGGTTCACTCAGGAAAATGGGAGAAGGGAGAGCCCGCACTTTATTCAAACTAACGGATTATCTGATACGAAAACTAATTTTAATAAATAGTAGGGCATCCTCTTAGTCCCAAGATGAGGCCTTCCCGGCGTTTCCACTGGCCACTCGGGATGTTCACGGAGATGTCTCCCCTCTGGCCGCTCAGGATTCTAACGTTACCCGCGCTGTGCAGCCTCGGCAACCTCCGGCCGCTTCTCCGCCCCAGCAGCAGTTCTCCGTCCCTCCGTGCTTGTGAAGCCTCACCTTGCACGTGCACAGTTTAGTTTTATGCTAACACCCTGGTGACCCCATAAAGATTTCTGAGGCTTCTTCAATGTCCATATTCCACTTTCTGTCAGGCCCACACAGGAATTCCAGCCTCTTCCTCAGCGCTGAGCTCTGACTACACGAAACCCACAAGTACAGCGTGAAACTTTCAATCTGTTTAAAGGTCGGGAGAAACTTTATCTGAAGTAGGAGCCCCTTCTAGAAAAACACTAGAGTTAGGAAAATTATTTTGTGAGTTGAATAAGGGGGGAGGAAAATAAAATGACAGGCTAAAGCTATGTTATACCTTATCTCTGTTTCTAGTAGGAGATGTCTACTTCCTGTTGGAGATCTGTTTTGCTATGTGCAGTTTACTCACTGGAAGAAAGATGGGTTTCCCTGACTTCATTTGGGAATGGAGGAGAGACTGTGGAGGAAGGAATTTGACATATGGGCTGTGAGACTGACTGGGATGGGCAGTGGGGAAGAGGAGACAGGGAGCCTCAGGAAATGGAATAGAGCGAGCTTACGGAGGTGGTGGAGGCAGACAGTTTCCTTTCAAGGGAGTAGGTATCAGTCCATGTTTGTACACTGATGGGAGCTCAGAAGAGAGGGGAGAATAGATGAGGGAAAGGATCGTGGAAAACAGCAGGAATAAATTACTTAAGACATCAATATCCTTGGTCACTAGGGAAATTCTATTCAAAACCACAATGAGATGCTAACCTACATCTACCAGAATGACTATGGGAAAAAAGCCAAAAGTATTGACAAGATTATGGAAAAACGGGAACTCTCAGCCATTGCTGATGAGAATGTAAAATGCTGCGATGTGAAAACCAGTTTAACAGTGTGAAAACGAGTTTAGCAGCTCCTCAAAAATGTAATATAGAAATGTCATTGGCCCAGGAATTCTACTCCTGGATATACACCCAAAAGAATTGAAAACAGGGACTCAAACACATACTTGTACACCAGTGTTCACAACAGCATTATTCACAATAGCCAAGAGGTGGAAACAACCCAAGTGTCCATTAACACACGAATGGTTTAAAAAATGTGGTACATTCATTCAATGGAATATCATTTGGTTTAAAAAGGGATGAAGTTCTGATACCTACCACAACATGGATGAACCTTGAAAACATTGTGCTAAATGATTAAAACCAGACACAAAAAGATAAACATTGTATAATTCACCTTATAAGAAATATCTAGAATAGGCAAGGTCATAGAGACTGGAAGTAGATTAGAGATTACCAGGCAGTGGATGGAGAGGGGGGAATAGGGACTTATTGCTTCATGGGTACACATTTTCTGTTGGATTTTGGAAAAAAGTTTTATAAACAGTGGTAATTGATGCAAAACATTTCAAATATATTGAAGGCCACTGAATTGTATACTTGAAAATGATATAAATGACAAATTCCATGTCACATATAACTTACCACTATTATACACACCAAACCACCACAGAGTGAGAGATTTTGTCCAAATCCCCAAGCTCAAAAATTTTCTTCTGTTATCCTACTTCAAAATTTCATGAACTTTTCTGTCGATGAAGCTAAGGCAGTTAGTTTGAGTAATCTTTGTATAAATAATGTATATGATGTTCATGCTAGACATCTTATAGGAATATGAGTTCTAGGACCTGATTGTACCAGTCAGCATAGAATACTTTCCTATCAAGAATCTGAAATTATCAGTCACCTAAATATTAGCAAATGAGGAAAAGATTAGTTGAATTTCCTGTAGAGAATAGAGTCATACAGTCCCAACCAAATTAGCAAAAAGTGTTTTCCCTGCCTGGCAGATGGAACAGAACTATTTTCGCAGTGACACGAGTATCACTGCAAATGAGCACAAAGGGGCTGAATGTTGGGAAACATAAAGACAGAACTATAGAGGTATCCAGCACCCACTGGCCTGGAATAACAAATAGAGCCATCCAAAGAGACAAAAGAGAAGACAAGGAGTAAGTGGAGAAATAGGAGCTCACAAGGATCAAGATGGTGCGTGTGGCTCTGGCCTCGGGGGAAGGTCTGAGAGAATGGCTGTTGCTGTGAATGTGTTGAACTCTTTGCTTGTGCCTGCGCAGGACAACGACCATGGAGCCACTAGCCCAGGTCATGAGACCCAAAAATGTAAGATCTACTGTGGAGAATATGACTACAACTAGAAGCATCATAAATCGGTCTGGATTCAGTGTGCAACAGTATCCATAATTTGTATTCACACTCAAGTTTTTGCTGTGTGTTGGACCAGTAATTCTGAAAGGAACAAAGATATTTACTGAAAGATGCAGGATCCAGCAAAGGAAACAACAGAAGCCAATGCACTTCGAGGATCTCATTCTGTGCTCCATCCACCTAGAGAAATTGGGGCAAAGCCTAATGGCTTGGAAACCACTGAGGAGGGAGGTAATGCTAAGGCCAACCCCTCTGGCCACCCTGTGAAAATAGAAGACAAATTGACATCCAACCTCATTCAGGAAATATTTTGATCCAAAAGCTGCCATTGTATGAGGGATTCCTTTGGAGAAAAGCACCAAGGAGTTGGCTAAGGCCAGTTGACTGAGAATAATGTCTGTGCATCTCACTTTCTGTCCAGTGAACAAGGTGAAGTTACAAAGACAAAAGAGGGAGGTGTTTCCAAGGATTCCCACCCCCATCTGAGCGACTAAGATAATTCTCGTTTCCCACTTGGCAGAAGACATCACATCAATATCTATGGGACATGATTTTAGTTGGAGTCAGAGGAATGGTCAGTTCAATAAACAAAAAGGAATATGCTGCCATCACCTCCCATGCTAAGCCTAACACATTCTTTCTCAATTTAAGTGAGCATTAAGTACGTGTGCTTATATGTACAAAGGCTATTCCTGAAGGTTCTACTTGGAAACAATTGGACTATCTATTTACAGGAACTGGGTGAATGCGTTATGGCCCATCTGCACAACAGAGTTGTCTACACCTGTACATTGAGTAAGGAGGATCTCTCTACTGGCCTACAGTTATGAACTGGATGCCTTCTGCAGTGAGAAGCCAGGTATAAGACTGGGTGTAGCATATGCTAGAGTTTTCCCAAGTAAATGGAGGGATGAAAATATAGGCACAGAACATACATGGGATGGGGCAGAATTTAAAAGTAGACTTTTAAGGAAAAACTCTTGTTATAGTGTTTTATTTGTACAAATGTACATATTTCAGATAATTATTAAATATTTGCTTTAATATAAATATTACAGCAAAGTAAATGTTTTAAAAACACTAAATTCAAAGGTTAAAAAATTGATTGAATATCCAGTTGGTAGTCTTTATATGTAATGGAAATACTTCAAGTGAATTGAAAATACAGAATTTTGACCGTATATCCATAAGAGAGATAAATGAAGGCAAAACTACCTGCAATGAATGAACCTTAAATTTTGCCTGTATATTTTGCTATAAAGTATTGCTAGACATTTTGAAAACGAGTATGTTAATAAACGGTCTTTCTGTGTAAGGCAACATAACTGCAAATATGAAACCAAATAATTTGAATAGCAATCTAAACCCTACATTTGATAAGAACAATCAATCCTCACTCATTTAGTATTTGATTTTAAACTTACATGCATTTCATTTCTCTTTCCTTTGAAAAAGGTCTAGAAATGATGGACAACCCTACAACAATGCCTCATTAAAGCAGCCAGTTTATGGACTCTTAAAACAGTTTCTCTCTGGAAGAAAGCACAGTGTCTTGGGGAAGAAAACCTTATTTTAGGTCTAGAGTAGGAACTTCTCAATATCATCTTGAAACTTCTTGTCAAATAAAAGAAGTAAGGAAATTCAGAATGCTGAGCTTACTTCAAGAGGTCACAGGATTCCACCTGAAGAAGCTGCCGCTGCACAATTTTGGTGCAATTGTTACTCCAAAGGATTCACAAACATAAGCCAAATGCTTATGGTGTAAGTGATAGAAAAATAACTGCAAAGGTTAATGCTGGAAGATGTTAGGGAAGCAACTCACTATTCTGAAAACTGATAGAGGATGTCTCTCCGCTGTGTCTCCTGCAGTAGTGGCACAGACTGTCTTTCCCATTAAGAAATCTTTGTGTGGGCAGACAAAACTGGT